GAACTTTCTTCGAGATATGTATGGGCAGGAACGATGTATGGGCAGGAACGATGTGAACGATACGATAATAACACTATTACAACAGCTTTCTTTCTTAAAAGTCATGATTAAATTTAATTGGTGTTTTCTACGAGTGAAGGGCTAGCAAAGTAGTCATACGAGTCACATAATTCAAGACTTCTGTTATCCACGGCTATCTTTAGTACGGTGGTTATTTCCCTTCCAATGACGCAATCCTTGCACGTTCTGACATGTTCTTTGCTTGGCTCGCAAATATTTAATTTTCCTTCTGATCACCGAACTCGCTCCTATGAAACAGCCAAAGAATTTATTTCATTTGCCTAAAACCGCAAGAAATAATAGCAAAATTGCAAATAAATTAATGACCATCGCTTCTGGCAAAATAAACTTGCAAAATAAACACGATCTTATTTGTCACGTAGACTGACATGTTCTTTGCTTGGCTCGCAAATATTTAATTTTCCTTCTGATCACCAAACTCGCTCCTATGAAACAGCCAAAGAATATTTCATTTGCCTAAAACCCCAAGAAATAATCACAAAATTGCAAATAAATTAATGACCGTCGCTTCTGGTGAAATAAACTTGCAAAGTAAACACCATCTTATTTGTCACGTAGCGAAAGTGAAAGCTGCAACCTCAGCGCATTCCATGGCTGACGTAATACCTTCTTTACACGTATTTATTGTTCCCTTTGAATCCAACGCTTCGATAAAACCAAAAGAAAATATATTTTACCCACAACAAAGAAAAAAATATCCGTAAAATTGTCTGTGCATTAATGTGTCAACATCTTATGGCGAATAAACATAACACGTTGCGTGACTGAAAATTTGGCCAAGAGGGAGTCTGGGTCTGGTCTCTGACAAAAGTGATAATAATAATAATAGTAATAAACCAAGGGTAGAACATGAACCCCGCTCGACCCATGGCCGTGTGGTTAACAAATACTAAACATAGGCACGCAAGGCGTGCAAGAGTAATTTTTTTTTTTGGGAAGTCTTGGAGATAGGAGCATTTATGGAGCTGTTTACAGTAATGATTTGGTTAATTTGACAAGTTTTTTTGGTTGCGTTGTACAGCAAGAATGAAACTGGGAATTTATGATGAACTTACGATGTTACATCGGTAATGGTAAGATAGCTAAGTAGTAAGCCATAAAATGTTTGACTGAACAAGCTACAGTAATCTGACACATCTCCAGATTAATGTAGATACCATCTTATTTTTTTTTTCCTTTGATTCGTTCTTTGATAAAATCCACACTGTGATTGGTGTGACACGTGATATGCATAACTCCCTCACTCACCGATCACAGAGCCCTTCCAAGCCCCAAGAGGAATTTTTGCTAAAAAATACTCAAGTTAAGAGACCTTTTCGTGTTTTATACAAGTCACAAGTTTACCCTTTTTACACAACACAACACAACAACACTACTTCACCGAAAATAGAAAGACAGAGGGAAAAAACCTCTCTGACACATTGAAAGTCTGATTTAATTAAATTGCACTTTAACTTGGTGCCACGCAGTACCTTTAAAAATATCGGACTGAAAAGAATGTCATAAAATGCCCATCAAATAAAAATAAACTGCTACTGCAGAGAGGTAATAAACATCCATAAATGAAAGCTTTTTTAAGCAATGACGTAATCGCTTCATGCTGGCAGGCATGCATTCCTTTGGATAGTGATTTCGCATAGTTTGTCGTGCTTATGTCCGTGCGCTTATCTCGCGCACTTTTTATCCCCCTGTGGAAGCGAAATGTACTCTGGGAAATCTTTTGCTACTTTCCTTTGCCATTTGTTGGTTCAGCGGAGTGCTTTTAATTGGAGCTTATAAAAGAAGATTTAGGGATGGATTTTGGTTTAAACAGTATCGGATAAATTTGCGTTCACGGGCAAACTCATAATAAGAACATATCCTCCATACATGCAAGTTTAGATAGACAAGTAAGTCGCACAGGCGATAGGTGAAGGCTTTGCGGCTTTCCTTTGCCGTTTGTAGGATCAGCAGACTACTTTTAATCGATGTGACAAGGATACAGTTAAAACAACAAATTAATTTCCAGTGAGGTAATTAATGTTACCATATATTTTTAAAGATAATAAGTTGTTGATTTCAGAGAGAGTAACATTCCTTTGCGGGTTTCCTTTGCGGCTGTTTATAGGATCAGCGGAGTGCTTTTAATTTCAGCTTTTAAAGGAAGATTTGGGGGTTGATTTTGGTTTATACAGTGTCGGATAAATTTGCGCTCACTGGCAAACTCGTAATAAGAACATATCGTCCATACATACAAATTAAGACACAGGCATCCCAAGCTCTCAATGTTATGCTTTTTCTTTTTTTCTTTTGATGCGAACGTTAAGGCTAACGTGACATATGGCATGCACTATTACATAACGACCGAATTTGACC